ATATAATATATAATATATAATATATATAATATGTATAATATATATAATATATATGATATATAATATAAATAAATATAATTAGATATGTGTATATCATATAAATTACATATATTACATATACTTTATGTATTATGTATATTATATATATCATAAATATTATATATATTATAAACATATATTTTATATATTATATATATACTTAACTATATTTATATACCAAATTTTCAACATTAGAAAAGGGTACAATAAATGATAAAATAAACTGAAGAAAAGCTAAATTCTTCATTGTTATATACTGGCAGAAAACGACAAAATTAAGTGACAATTTTAAAAATATTTATCTATTTAAGGAGAACCACCCTTCGTAACATTTAATTCCCTTCCTATCCACGGGGGCCTCATCCAGAAGTTTCAGTGGAATGCACCGAGTGCCAATCATCGAATTTTCACCCACAATTGAACCACAATTCCACACAGAAACATCTAAGGTCTGGTCCTTCAAGCTATAGTTTGGACTTAGCTGATAAGTTAGCTAAAACAGAGAAGGCGCAATAAATTTTAATGCACAACCATTGAAAGTCTTTCCACAAGAGAGTACGCAAAACATTCCACTGATTTTAAGTTAATGAAATAAAGTGAGAAAAAAATTACCTCCTCATTGAAAATGGGCATCTGGGTGTTTTTGATCACGCGAGTTTTCCTTTTTGTTGACCTCTGCATTCTTGGATTTAAATACCTAAAAAAAAGGTAAGAATTACACTGTAATTAAGCTTTAAAGCTTTAAAGACATCAGGAGAGAGCTATACTGAAAAATAATTTTGTTTAATCATAAAAGCAACATTAACATAAAGTCAAGATTTCTTAATATCCATACGTTTTAACATACGAGTCTGGAGGTTGCCCATTTACAGTTTGAAGGTCTTCAACATGGCCAACGAAAATACTGAGGATCAACCTCTGTTTGCTGAAACTAATGCGAAGAAAGATCCGACCCGTGAAGAAATTATGAATTCGATTGCTATTCTGGTCTTAAATTATATTATTAACAAAGACTAGCGATTTGGTTAAAATTAGATTCAACAGGATCTTAAAAACAAGAGTCTACAAAAGTTTTATTGCTGCAAAATCACAAAACCTTTACCGTCAATTTGAGAAAGACGATTTGACTCTTCAGGAACACTATCGCGAAAAATCATGTGGAAAAATGTGTACACCAAATCGCACTGTAATTTGAAACAATGAATTAAATTCGAACAAGCAAGACATTACGGATGACTGAATAAAAAAATTATACGTGAGCAACTTCAGGGTGATTGTCAAAAAGCAAAGAGAGAAACTGCTGAATCTCTGGACGTCGTCTTTCCGCGACGGAACGAATATTTGAACGACCTACACCAGTCCCTCGAGATAACGGAGGTAACCGTGCAATAGTAAACCTGAAATAGTAGAATATGATATTTCTCACGTGAGAAAAAAATGAGTTAAATCCCTCTAAGAAAATTGCAGTGAACGTTGCAGTAAACTCTTGAAACACTTTCTCAAGGTTTTGAGGAAAAAAATAAAATGTCAAATTTTAAAGAATGTTTGATTCAAACAATCCTCAAGGGCAGAAACGAAGAAATAACGAAAAAAAAGCTACTGAAGCGAATATTCAAGAAAAATGCGCGATGAGTTACCTTCGACAAAGTTTTATGTAGAGCTCATTAAATTCATCAAACGATCGATAAACAACGCTACTTACAGTCTCATAATCTCGTTTTACAAGCAGTTTGTACATCTGCAACAATAGTAGAAATGTGTACGTAGTGAAGGTTTCAGGAATACAATTGGAAAAGCATAAAGCAAAAGCTAACATAAACTTTTTCTGGGATGCGCCACTTCTCGTAGGCAAGTACCGTAACCGTTGCTATTCTCCCGTCAGTCTGCTCGCTAAAAAACGACCAGTAGAAAACTGCACAACATGTTTACTTTTCAAAAAAAAAAAATTGGAGTTTTGCAAGCGAGGAGTGTTCCAAACGAATTCACTAAAAATAAAAAAATTCAAGATTTACAATAAGTCAGTCAGCATACTCAAATCCAATAAATTTGCAGTAAACAAAGAACTACGATAACAAAAACTAACTTATATAACTCTGGAACAAAAGAAAGTTTATTCGGATCATCAACTGAGTTGCGAATAATTGATGATGCGCTTTTAAGCTGGACAAGAGTATGCGCAAAAAAATTTAACCTGTAAGCAAATAAAACCAATATTTACACTTGTGGAGCAATTAATTAATCATGTAAGTCTACTCAACCCACTAAACAGCTTCAGTGTTTGTGAACAGAACAAAAAATAGTAAAGTCAACAAGATATATTTGCCTCGGAAATTTGCTCTTCAGGCTTTCTTGAATCATGCGAGTGAACTGGACAGTTGCTTCTGTATCGGAAAGATGCAGCAAAAGGTTGTTCTGCACAAAGCTAACAGCATCTGTGTCCATTCCAGGAATTCCAGAACAGGACATCTATAAACTAGGGTCAATATAGAAAAGCAACATGAAGTGACGATTAGGTAATAAGGAGTTGAAGACACAGTGCGAAATAAACCAAATTAAGTCATTCGCAAATGTAAAACGCAGTAGCTCCAATAAACGTCAATAACTATTGCAAATGCAATCAAGTAGACGATGAGCACCCCTAACGTGACTTTATAAATCCCGTTTTGCTTTAAAAAAGAAGTACAGCCCCAAATTCTTATTCAGAAAAGCAAAAACTTTATAAAATTCTGTTTTTCAGCACTGCGGATTCTATACAGAATTTTAAGCTATTTTTGCATTATAGAAAGTAACAAACATTATAGTTTGTTCCTTAAAAATTTTGCATAGCTTTATTTTTTAAACTTCTTAACAATCGACAACTTAACTTGTCCGTAAAGACGAGCTTGTAAAAATTTAACGCACCAATTTCATTAAGTTCACAAGCAAGGAATATTTCTTCCTCAACGTATTGAAAGCCCTGCAGCAGTTGTCGACAAATTGTTGGTAACGACGAGTCGACGACTGTGATGAACCTTCATTTATCACATAAGCCATTTCTGCGGTAAAAACAAATGGTGTTCGATCTCTAGAACAAACGAGAATATTCTTAATTTATGTGAATAAAAAATAAGTGTTAGCTCACCTTCTAAAACCTGCGGCCATCTGCCAATCCCCCATGTACTTCCCAAAGTCAATATGAAAAACATGCCCAGTTTTCGTTATTAATATATTATCGTTGTGACGATCACCAATGCCAAGCACATACGTTGCAACACACCAACCCGCACACGACAGTTGGAAGTTTTCTAATGCCTTAACTTAATCACTGTGAACGTGTTATACACCATTTAAGAATGACTACTTAAGAATCAAGAAAGAATTATTAAATATCTTTACAAAGTAACCATAGTACACTGACGATTTTATACTGAAATTCCGTTGGGTTCTGTTTTTCCAACCATTTTTTCAAGATATCGTCCTTGAAAACACCAGTAGCACCGATCGCACTCTGTATTTCACAAAGCGTGCAACACTCCGGTACCAGTTCAATCATTCCTAAAGCCATAATTTTCTGAAGAATCGACCCGTTTCAAAACCAGCGAAAGGCAGAGACCATCAGTTACCCATTTTAGGCCCCACAGGAACGCAACGAAAAATGATCATCCTCAGATCAAGCTCTTGGCTTAGCCAAATATCATTCATAATTTTTACCAGTTGCAGAACTAAAGCATCTTGCCTGACATCATCACCAACCTAAAAGCTAACGCGGTTAATGTGCAGCTTGTAAATGTAACAGAAAATTATAGTTTTTAGGAAAAATGCTCATAAAGTATGAGAGGAAAATGAGGGAAATTTCTAATCCAATAAAAAATAAAGCTTTCAGAATTTACAATAAAAACCATCTTTGACAAGAAGAAGAAAATACCTTGAACAAAACACCAAATGACGTTTTCAAACCTTTGAAACTAAGCCTTAAAGGCTTCGTCAAAGAGTTGAAAAAACTGCATTTGGAAACATTGATGCCAGTACACAGAAAAGACGGTAAAATCGGTAAACGAACATTATTCTCTAGTATACTTGAGTCCAATTGAGCCAGATTCTCATGTAAATTGTGAATCTAAATTAAATATAAATAACTGATTGAAGAGTTAACTGTCAAAAAAATACAAGTTTTAGAAGAAAGCTTCAAATAAATTGATTTCTCAACATAGAGCTGAAAGCCACTGAACAATTTAAAAAATATAAAACATTTTGTTAAAAAAGAAAATATCACTAGGCTGTAGAACAAGAAGATCAGTCTCTTACAAATCTTAAAATATTTTTCTTCCAAAAAAAACGGCAATTTAAATTTCTAAAACTACGTACTAGCTTTGATGGCTCGCCCCCTTCACTTTTAATTTCAGCTGCTATCGCATTCAGCGCTTTCACTAAACGATGCTGATTTTTAATGTCAGTTTGTAAAGTATTATCTAGAAACTCCAACATCTGCTTTTGGAGAAGCACACAACGAAAAACAAAAGATTTTTCTGCGCAGTGGTCGATCCTCTGTTGTAATTGCCTAGAAAAAACCTTTAGCTAAGTATTTTTCAAAACGAAACAGGCACCCGGCAGTCAAAAACTTAGAATAGATAACTGATTATTTAAATACCAGTATAATTCAAAAGCGAAACGGCGATCACTAGCGCTTAACGACAGCAAATACGAAGCTAAAGAGGAATTTTCAAAAGTCTCGAAACGAAGCGCCTGAAAAAAAGGATTTAGAGGAAATAATGCGGCAGATTTAATGCTAAAAGATTTACCCTTATACAGCAGTAGAAGCCCCCCTAAAGACGTACTTGAGGAACTTAAGTCCTCATTGTATAAAAAACAACTCTAACATTTGGAAATACCTCAACTAACTCCGGTAGGAAGTTGAATAAGAAATCGGAAGATGCTGTTTTCAACCACTCTATTGCCTTTTTACGTATGACCAGGTCAGGAAAGCTAGAAAAGAATTATAATCTTTGTCTAAACGCCATATTGTGAAAAAAGAAGACTCTATAGAATAAATGTAAATGTGGAACCATTTTAATAAAAAGTTACTTTGGAAGAAACAATTCTACTGCTTGAACTGGGTCTAAGGAAGCCCAATCATCAACTAGCTGATAAATGTGATTTAGGGAAGCCCAGTCCCAACCGATGGCAGAAGCTAATACTAATGTCAGAGCTCCTGGAACTTCCGTCAAATAATACCTCTTCTCCCACAATATTTCCTTTTCATCTTGACTTAAGCTAAAATTATAGAATTTTGAAAACTTCTTTAAAAAAATACATATGATTTCCAGAAACCTTTTTCATTATCGTTTCAAACTCTAAAAGCAAGAAAAAAACAGAAGAACTTAAGAAAACAACAAAATAATAACTTATTTGTAACGCCTCCTTCAACAATGTCCATTAAACTTTGCTGAGTATCGGTATCAAGTGATTTAAAGTCCCTCTTCATACTGTAAATATCACATTTAATGCACAAAAAATGTTATATAATTACGGTATACCACTCGGACTAAGCGTCTGAATCTAACCTAATCTCTGCAAAACCAACGTGCGGAAAAATAACTTCGTAAGGAAAAGATGGCAAGATAACGAGTGCTGCTAAGTCATCTCCAGTTTCCAGTAGCGGTCTAGGTCCCCACGGCTGAACCACAGATCCTTTAACGTCCTCCAGTGGAAGAAATAAGCCTCCTTGGCGCAGCCTTCTACACAAAGAATAACAATAAAGTTCAAACCCTAGTTGTCTCATAATTTAGAAGAGTAACAAGAAACTACGAAACAAAACATCTGATACACAACCATACTCAAATTTCACACAAAGCAAAGAAATGAGTGACTGTAATATCACTCTATATCTAAAAGATGTTAAAGAGTTTTTTACTACATTTTTTGTCACCGTATTTTAAAAAAAAATCCTTCTTTAACTAAAAAATTTCGAATAAATACCCTTCAAAATCAAATAATGGAAAAGATCCACAAGCTAGCTTTTTTTCAGTAGAGTTTGATACATCGTCTGGTGCGCAGTTCTGTGCACTCTGAAAGCAAATTTGATCTAAGTGAAAAAATATAAAAAATATGACGCAAAAAGACAGTTCTCTCATGTAAACGAAATCAGACGCCTATTTTCTACTAATTTGGTAAATTAAATTAGAACTGTATTTACAGAAACAACAACAGCAACTTTATAATATTAAAAAAAAAAAAAACGACGACATTAACATAAACAAAATAATTAGTACTCAAGAACAAGTTAGTACTAACGAGAGAAGTGTTATCCAAGTGTTCGTCATCCCGGGTAGCCACTCCAAAAAGAAGAACAAATACACGTGTTTCACGAGGAAGGATACAAATGGGTATGTTAAATCTTACCTAAATTTTTACTGCTGAAATTCTCTTGCCAGTCTTTACACCAATAGCTTCGAAAATCTTAGTACTACACTAACCCAGACATTTGTATGACAGTAAGGGAAACAATTATCGTTTATCACAGGTTTTGGTAATTCCTGGTAACCCGGACACAGTACTGCTGTACCATGCATAATGTGAACGGCCACGTAAAATGAATGATAACGTTCTCTCCACTCATTAGGAATATTATGCACGGAATCAACATGAACCGTTAAGCTCTCATCCATACGTACAACCTCACGTTTTTTTACCTCACCCTCGAACAGCATGGGCTGAAATTTTCAAAGATCACTTTAGCTAAACGACTAATTCATTTGGTAAAGCATAATCAAAGAATGACCGTTACGTATGGTCACTGTCAAAATACCCTTATAATAAAAAAACTGTGCAGAAAAAACACCAAACACTCTGCAAGAATTTTTAAGATAACACATCACCTTCAATGGCAGAGCACCAAAGTTGCACTGTGAAGATTTACTAAAAGCATCAATAAACTGATGAACAGCATGCGCTACCCTGTTGCCGCTAGTGTCTAACTGCTCCTAAAAGCACAAAACGTATTATGCTGCTGACTGCAAATTTGCTCTCGTCCTTCCTTAAAAAAAAAAGTAGAATAGAAGCGAAGACAACGATGAAAAACAAAAAACATCTGTAAAACCGTACAATTGTTATTGCAGCAAGGTAACTCTTTAATGAATTATTGAGTTCATTTGTTATAATGTTACCCAAAACTGTACATAAAAGTTTGACGGTTTGAAGAACTCTGTTGCGATAACTCGAGGCTAAAATTAAAAAAGCGATAGATTCCTGACACAATAAATTTAGACTAACAATTTTACAACCGTATTTTCAAGCAATCAAAACAAATATACCTAATGTCTCTACTATATCAGAACTCTCATTAAAAAAGTACCCACCGTATTTCAGCAGTAAAGAATAGAAAAAAAACTATCAGAAACAAACAATTGTACGAACCATCTTCCTTAAAACAGTTTTCTCTGCAGTTAGTAACTTCCTTCTTCAGAGTGTCAACCACCGACTCTACACTGCTGATATCAAGCACGGCAAAATACGGCTTTCTTGTGGAACTAAAAACCACGCAAAGATTCGGTATTTATTATTTCGGAGACTTACTACTTCTAACCGTGTACCTTAATGTTTTTAATAACTCGTATAGAAGAAGAAATAATTAAAATTATAACAAATCAAGACTACGTTTTTCACAAAAAAAAACTAACTCTGAGTAAGATTTGGTGAGCATATCTTTATTTATATTCGATATTTCGAGCTCTCCAACAGGTCTATACATAGAACAACCACTTAATTTCCCCACCTAAATAAAAGAAACCTAAGTAATACAACTGCTCCCACGCTAAACTAAATTACTACGTATTCCAAAAGCCGTACTCCAATCGAGTTCTATATTTAAGAAGGCAGAATTACCGCAGTAAGTACAACAGTATAAAACCCATAAAGTGTAAAATTAAATTTCTCCCCACCATACCTCTAAGCGTATATCCCTTCCAAACGCCAGTGCTTCACCAACAAAAGGGTTTTCCCCTAACTTCGAAGTGTTTAGAAGAAATTCGTCCAAGCCATATATCTAAACAAATTTTTTTCAAAATGAAAAAAAAACTAAAATTTCATGATGCACTTTTCTTTGCAGAACGAACCTTTAAACCATATTCCTCAAGAGGCAAACAGCCATTATACTTCTCTATCTGTCTTGGATCCAGAAAAGTGTTGAGCACATTTGCTAAAATCTCTTCAATGGTGCTTGCAGTTTCACAAGTAAAAGTCATTCTGTCCTCAGACCCACTGAGACTTGGAGGCCAACTAAAGAAGCTCATTTCTTCAGACAGTACACGAATAGACTATCGAAAAACTAAATGAAGACCCAAGAAAAATACCTGAAATCTTTTTCCACAATCACTTTAACGCTAGTTACTTTAAAATTCGTAATAAGGTAATCTACAATTGGAGATATAAATCGCTGAGCCAGAGACGACTGCTTCAACGGCCCACTGCGTTTTAGAGACATAATCTAAAATAAATTCAGAACTGAATATTAAAGCTTTTCAATCAGAATAAACCAAAAACAAGCAACAAAATTTTTATATCAGTATCCGCGGCTGGCGAGTCATACAGCCACAAATAAAATGAATAGAGAACAAGTAATCATCAAACGACTTCCAGTTCCCCTACATGATATTAAGAAAGTGATTATTAAAACTTAATTTAGTGAACCTCTTTTTCCAGTTCACAGACACGGGTTTCTAAGCCAAGGCTCTCAATCGTTACAGTTTGATTTCCGGAAGGGCAAGAACGTCTGTTACTAGGATCTGCAAACTCGCTCCTACCGCTAGATTTTCTCAACCTCGGGGGCTTTGGGGGAGGCGGCCGACCTTGATGGTGAAGCAAATATTATATGTCCAAAACCAAAGATAAAAAAGAAATATACATTAAAATCTAAAAATGCTGGAAAAAATGTAACCTGGCTTATTTACAACAGGATTTTCCAAATTTGTTGTTCTCACAGATTGTGAACGTTCAAATGACGAAGCAGTTGGCTCTATGCTTTCTGTGTTTTCTAATAACGAAGCGCTTCTTGAAAGATTTATTCCACTTGTGGATGGCTCTAGAGAATCGTCGTGCTTCAAAAAGCACAACGGGTCAAACTCTTTTTGAATCTAAATTCCAACAATGTCATCAAGCTTTGACCTATCTGCCTGTTCTTTAAAAATCCTTGGTAAGAAA